AACAGATAAAAAGAAAAAAAAAAAAAAATAGTCTCAAGTACCCTCCATAAATCTCAGGAATTTCCTAGTCGAGGTCCTTCAAACCGAACAAACATCTATTTTCCGAATCATTTCTAAAGACCATTGTCTACTACGGCTTGACAAGGGAAAGTTAGTTTTTCTAACGTACGATGCAACTTTCCTCCTACTAACCACTTTCTATCGAGGGCGGCTAAGACCCTTCCTAGTCCACCGATCCAATTAACAACAAAGCCTATTTCCCCCACTCTCTTAGCTAATATGTTACCAACAAATCCGATGGTCCCGTGCGCTAGACACCCCCATCCTTAGCTTTCCTCCGTCACAGCATCGTCTCCGAACATCACTGATTTTCTATCCTTCGAACAGTCAACATCCTTCGACCGGGTTTACACCCGAAAATCAGTCACTCACTCATCTTATACATACGCACCAGCGTAACTATCTTCTTTACAAGTTGTTGGAATAAACGGGATTTATAACTTACTATACAGTGTTACATTCATTTTGTGTTACACCGAAGTTGTTGGATTGTGAAAACATATAATAACCTGTTAGTGGCAGCGTTATCTTCAATTTAACTAGCCCTATTATCCCAAAAGAAATAAGGGATCAAACGATTCGCGGCGTCGATTAGCAAATCGTAACGGGAATTTACGGCTCCCGTTGGCGCGCTTCTTCGAGATCGTGTCTCCCCGCGAACGTGCGAAAACAACCTTTACATATCTAAGTTGTGCAGATTTGACGTGCGTAAGAAATTAGTGTCGTTTCAAAGTTACATCACATGCATTTTAAGGCTATAATTCTTGACGTACAAAGCAATATAAATTTGAGCTGTCTCTTATCTCCACAACAAGAAAATCTAACTTTACTTTTCGTATACGAAAAATGATATTTATATAACATTAATAATCGTATTATTGCATCGCTTGGAGAATGAAGTCAAGGTACGATGTGACCCTAGTGTAAACGCCAGGATATCCAGCTGCGGCGCACTTAAAACCATAAGACACAACACCTATTTGATAGAAGGTGAATTTCTTTGGTAGCATCAGTGGTCCCCCGCTGTCACCCTGAAACGGTCGTTACATTTTTAATCAAGGTTACTGAAATATTTCAATCGAAATATATCGAAATTATACTTATATACAGTAATAATCTATTATTAATTTATGTATTGAAATATTCCAATTTTTAATGTATATGTTATATGTATTTTGAAAAAACTAAGATTAGAAGGAATTAGATTAAATACCATAATGACGTGTGAGAAATGGGCAAAACTATTAAATTGTGTTTATCTATTATTCTTAATGTTTAAGACGTTGATTTGATGTTGATTCGAATAGACGTATTTTCAGACATTGTATAATTTATGGCAAAGCTGTTATTTAATTACTTGACAAGCATCCTTTCCGCCCTGAGTGTATCCGGCGCATAATACGTTATCAGTGACATGTGCAGTAGCAAATCTGGCATAAGAGTTCTTGCATTCGGTGTTGCTAACCACTGGCACTTGTACTTCCATTAAATCATCACTACCGGGTCCATCTGCAAAGAAAATGAGAAAGGTATTTAAGACGGGAACTATTTCATTTTATTGGCGAATTGGTATCACTTACGATGTCCTACTGATCCCCATCCAGCAACGAAGGGGTAATAGCGCTCGAAGTTGTTATTTCGAAGATTATCCTCTACGGGAAGACAAATGGGATATACGTATTCTGAAAAATAAGGCAATAAGTGATAGTGAGCGAAACGAATGAGGAAAAGTATAAGAAAGAATTCAACATGTTTTATGCTAATAAATATAGACAACTTAACAATATTTGAAGACTTACCTGAAAATTGCACCTGCTCCACCAATTTAAGAATGGCGATATCATGTTTGGTTACCCCGGAAATATAATCAGGATGTATTATTTTAGATTCGATTTCTATTTGAACAGGATGCGCTCCGTCGTCATTTCGTACTAGATTTAAGTCACCGATACGAACCACGTACAATTCATTGATTTCTGCACAATGTGCTGCGGTTAAAACATGCCTAGACGATATCAGGGAACCTCCGCACTTCCATAATGGTTCAAGAACTGGGTTTCTGGGATAATGAAAACCTAATGCAGCAATCCATGGCCAAGCGCCTAAAACGCAATAGTCATAGTTGTGAATATACATAATTTTTTCTCACATAATGAGTAACAACGATTATTACTGAGAAAGAATTGTACACGCTTTATGACACAATATATGTGTACAGTAAGAAATTTCAGAATATGATACTTCAGTAATACTCAATAGCATATACTCAACAATATTTGAGGACTTACTCGAAAATGGCACCTCCGCCACCAATCTAAGAATGGCAATATTATGATTGTGTATGATTTCTATTCCATCCATGTGTGCACAATGTGCTGCGGTCAAAACATGCCTAGCCGATATCAGGGAACCTCCGCACTTCCATAGTGGTTTGTCTGGGTTTCGGGGATTACGAAAACCTAATGCAGCTATCCATGGCCAAGCGCCTAAAATGCAATAGTCATAGTTGTGAATATACATAATCTTTTCTCACATAATGAGTAACAACGGTTATTACCTATTTGATATTCGATCATACAGCAGACGATAAGTACATACGTACAAATACTCTCAAATAGAGATTTGATAAAGACAGAAATTAAATTTTTATTCCAGTGGAATACAAGTTATTAAATAATTCTATATAATTTCTATTTGAACTATACTGAACTATAAAGTTCAAACATGTAATTTCTGCCATAACAGTTTTTGATCTCTATCCATATTATTACTCCTATATCAATTTTTTATTTCAAGCAAAAAGATATTCTTCCTAACATGAAATAAAAGAAAGAAATAACTCAAGTTAATAAGTAGAGTTACTACCGATAAAATCATAGCATTATTATTCGGTCTAATTGAAATGTACATTGATGTGCTGTTTAGTGTCTTCAAAGTTCATGCTTCGTAACAAATCGCTTATTATTAATTGGAAAGAAAGACGTAAAACGTACCAAGTTCAGCTGGTTTACCACCGACCACCCTGGTATGAGAGATGTTGCTAAAACCACATTGTGGTGGACGCAAAGGCCCATACTCGTTTTCTTCCAAAATTCCTCTGTCCTCCCTGCTTTGTTCGTTCGGACAACAAACGATCGGGTTATTATTCTCGTATTTGCACACTGATCGCCTCAGAAAATCGACAGCTGCTTGGCCTTGTGTCTGCAGCATTTCCAGCAGTGGTTTACATACTCTGATGCCAAGACACTTGCCTGTTTGATTGTTCGGCGTGGTACATTCTGTATCAAACAATTTTAATATGATACATTTATAAAAAAAGAAATTATTATAACTAAGAAATTGACAATAGAGTGACGAGTTAATTCGTCTTTTCTGATTAACTTGTTAAATAAAATTTGTAATAATAATGTGTATATATATATATATTTTACATAATATTAACCGTTACTGTTGATACTTCGTTCACGTCGTATACAATTGGATTACGTGTTTCTCCTAGAATTAACAATATAGTTACATTGCGGATACTTCATTCGTCTTCGTAAGTTTAGCACAACATAGTTATTAGCACGATGACAATACAAAAATAGAAAATATGAAATCATCATATAGCATATAGTAAATCGGCATATAAGCATGTAGTATATTTTTGGGATATCCTTGAATTATATTTAACTTCATTAGATATTAAATAAAAGGCTTCGAGGATTATACAAATGTGAATTTTTGCATAATGTTCTCTTGTGTCGTTACTTTTACATGCACATTAAATTTTAAAACCTCGGAATAACGTAATCATAAACATTCTTGCCACGCTCAAAACGCTTATGTTAATTCTCATGAAGTAATGTTATCATCGGATGGTTTCTCAGAACCTACAGCGAAGGATACGTATTTGCCTTTGTGTAAACTTCGTTGCGCAATTTCCTGTGCAAGATACAGGCTACATTCCCGAACGAATTTGAAATTAGCAATATTGAAGCGCGGTACTCGGAAAGACGAATGTACATGGATAATTGTATACACTAATTAACGATACGGTTATAATTGCATGTTTGATAGAAAAATATCATGGTAAAATTAATATGATTTCATGGAAACGCGTCTAACATATCATGGAAACGCGTCTAACTTGGTATCTCGAAAGTATCTTAAGCAAACTAATTAGCGTGCCTGTTATGTCTTTTAAAATGTAAATTAACATGTAATAAAGAAACCTTCATCAATTTGATTCGCTTCAAACTACGCAAATAAGTAGTATAAATAATATTTGTAATAGATTTGGCATCAATTCCATGTTTCCTTTAATATTTGCCTTTAATAAGTCCAATTCGTTTCACGATTATACAAATTACTAAAAAAATGTCTATATTAGTAATTTATTTATTTTGCATTAATCGTGACATGTTAGTTGCATTATGTTATATGTAAACTACCACAGAGGAAAAATGATAATCTTTCAGTTATTAGTTTTCTGATTTTAATGTCATTTTATGAGTACTTTAACACGAGGTACTTGTAAATGAAAACAACCAATTAGGTCTAAAAACATAAGCCTGTTACCAAGACTCTTATTAAATTGAACAAGCTTTTCAAAAATCGAACGTCTATATTAACGCGAACTTATTATTTGACTGATTTGACTGACATCCGAAATTGGTGAGATCATATGAAATTTTGCTTTTCGCGGTTCGGTGTATAAGAACGCGTCACCGATTGCTCAACTTTCGATATAAAGAGCGGATCAAGTCTACCGGATTATCCTACAGACACGCATTAATTCGTAAGAGTTAGTCATCATCTGGATAATAATTATCTGAAGAAACTTTCAACGTGAAAATATAAAATTTTCCTTGATTACATAGTGCGTTCGCCATAATTGAAAAAATGGTAAACCTTCGATCTCATCTTTCTAATACACATTTTCTTTACCTCGTGATAAATAAATTCTTGGAAATTTAATTTTAAGGAATTTGACAAATTTCCAACGAGACTATGTGACACCGTTAGGTAAAAGTGATTCAAATGTAGTAGCGATATTAAACGAGAAATCTATAAAGGTGTCATTAGAAATTCTAAGAATGTCTCTGCATCTTTATCTTAGGTATTACGCCAATAGTTTTCATTACTGTGATGTAATATTTATCATGCTTATTTTGTACGTAAAACGAATCGTTGGAATATTCCCGAAGCTAACGAAGCATTTCCCAAAAGTTAATATTCCCAAAAGTTAAACCGAAGAAATTAACGCGAATAGTTAAGTGAAATTTTTCCATTAACTTCCTGACCAACCGGCAAATAAAAAATCATAAAAATTGTTTCAATGTGTTGAGGTCACGCATAACTTCTTTGTTCATCGACGATTACCAAACAGGTAAAATTTCGAAATTGTACGAAGGCCACGTGACCAGATCGTATTGGAATTTGAAGTGCATGGAAAAAGACAACTCGAAGTACAAACCTTGAGCTGACGCCACGTGAACTAATGGATGCAGAAAAGCAATTAACGCCATACATCCGAACAGCATCTTGGAGCCCGTCATTGTTCTGAAATAAAAGAAG